AGGTGAAGCTTGCCTGATGTGCAAAGCTCGCCTGCTTTGAGCAGTTAGCCTGACTTGGAGAAGTGGCTTGAAGAGCAGGTCCCGCCTGATTTGGTAGGCTCGCTTGTCTTACTAAGTTCGCCTGATTGGAGAACTTTGCTGCTGGAATAAGGCTCGCCTAAAGTGTTAGGCTCGCCTAGAACGCTAAATTCGCCAGTTTTGGGAACTTCGCTAATTGAGCGAAGCATGCCTAAACAGGAGGGCTCGCCTGATCGACTTAGCTCGCCAACACTGGGAACTTTACGTTCCTACTTGGCTTTTCTCAGGCCTGAATAATAATTCAGGCCGTTATAGGAGATAAAGGCTTGCGCTTCTTGGCCGGCGCTAGCTTGTATTCGCCGCCGCCTAGCTCTTATGGAAAGAGGCACATTCATTTTTACGGTGAAGGCGAGGTCGCCCACCTGAACCACAGTCTCCTTTTGCATAGGGGACTACATGGATTGCTTGGAAACCCAACAAGCAGCCCTTTGGCTTGCATTCTTGGCCTTTGGTTCGGCCATGATTGGCTTGGGGGAGATAGAACCCCCTGTTATAGCTCGGGTAGAGCTCTCAGGTGTGGTTGCCTCGATCACATGGGGCTAGGCCACACGCGCGACTCTGTAGCACTTGCGCGATGCATTGTCACCAGAGGAGGAAGAAGACAAGTATTCTTCATACTTGGCTTGGTCGAACTCAATCATAAAGGACTCAACAGTCGTCCCTTCTGCAACTTCGTCGAACTGCATCACCACCAATTAATTTGAGTGAATGGTTGCTCCCACTGTGGTCGTCATCCTCTGTTTAGTCATAAAAATTCGACTCCCGAATAGGGGTAGCTTGTATTGATAATAATGACTTATTACAAACTAACAATTAAATGTTTTACAACAGAAGCAAAGGGAAGTTCCTTCTTGTTTAACATGGGTTCTTCGGTAGCGATAGGATGCCTCTCTCGATACTCGTGCTGAGTTTGCTTCCCTTGGACGATCCGATCGAAGTTGCGGTTGAGTTTCAATATGCAGTAGAAGCTCGCGTGTAGTTGAGTTAGACTACTTGAGCTTGATGATTATCAAGGCCGAAAGCTTAGAGAGAGCTTATTGCAAGGGTTTGCAAAGAGCCAAGAGCCTCAAATCTGAGAGTTCAGGTTGAGTCTACTTCAACAATCCAAGCTTGTAGCCAAGAATGTTCCAACCAAGAAAGCCAATGAAAGTATCTGCTTTGAGAGTCTCGTGGGTGCCTAAACTTCAAAGTCTCTCTCTCCAAAGCCTCTGGAAGCTAAGTTCTGAGCCGAACCCCCTTCCATGCTTGCAAAGGGATCCTATAAATAGGCAAGGGATGACATGAGCCATCCCTTGATTTGTGGGATATGACCACCAATGGGTGAGGAGCATCATGCCCTCCCCTAGATGTGGGATGTGACCACCTAAGGTGATGAGGGCTATGCTTCATTACGCAAGACGTGGGAAGTAGGTGGGCCAACTCCCACAAGCAAGCAGCTGCTTACACTGTTCAGGGGAGGCTGACAGGCGAGCTGGCGAGCTTGGAAGCTGTTTGAATGCTCAGGTGAGCTTGCAGGCGAGCTTGGCGAACAGGCGGGGTCGGCTGGCGGGCCCCTCAAGCGTGTGAGCTGGCGTTCGTTGACAAGATGGGTTCGTGCGGGCAAACTCACTGCAGGCGGGCTTGGCTCATGCGGGCGAGCGAGGCATTCGGGCTGGGTTGAACTCGTGCTGGCGAGCTTAACGATCAGGCGAGCTCGATTCGTGCTGGCGAATTTAGCAAACATGCGGGTATGACTTGTGCTGGCAAGTCAAGCCATCAGGCGATGCTTGGCTCGTGCTAGCGAGCAGAGCGTGCAGGCGAGCTCACTCGTGCTTGCGGGCGAGCTTTGTTAGGCTCGCTAGATG